CCATAAACATTAGTAAACAACGTGAGATCGATATTGTTAGGACCACTAGCGGGCCTAAAACTTGTAAAATACCCTATTCAAGAAATCGAAACTGTGCAGAACGTAAACCCAACTCTACAAATTCCCATTCACCATTCTGGTTTTGGATCCAAATCTTTCACTTTTTCTGCTATACGCCTGTGGAATGCTTTTCCACTAAGCATTCGTAGTACTCAAAATAAGATGGAGTTCAAAAAACTAGTACGTGTACACTACCTGACTACGTAATTTTTCTTTCTAAGTGTAATTTACATCTATTTATTATGTATGTATTTGGGTATATATATATATTATGTATGTTTATATATGTGTATTAGCATTTGTTTTTCAGTAACATTGCCTTATAACCTTACCGTTTGTCTCTAACACTCTTACTGGTTGACTGGAAAGAATGCCAATGGCATTAAGTCCACCGTTTGCTTAATGTGTGGAAATAAAGTTTAAATAAATAAACATTAAACTGCTTAATTTTGTGTACATTTTTCAGGAATGGGCAATAAAAATTAGGTAAGTAGGTATCCAAATATTATTAATATTTACTCTGTAAAAACACAATGAATTACTTGATCCAGAAACGACACGCCCTAAAATGTTTAAGTGTTATCAAATGCGGTTCCTGGGATTAACTAACACTCGTTTACAAATGCGTGTAATATAGATAGCTGTTGGTCCAATTTTTCTTGTTTATAGAAAGCTTTATTGAAAGTTACTTCATAGCCTGTAGGTAGACCTCGTAAATATTTCACGTAGGAAATTAACTTTTTATGAAAGTCTAGACATAACTATTATGATCAAGCTCTTAGGATTTTAAAATTATAAGTGCAGTCCAAAGTCCAAACACTAAGACAGGTATAATGAATTTTTATTAGATGCATAAAGTTTGTCTAGAATAAACATACAATACGTATTTAGCTGTATATCACAAAGTAAACGGTATGATGTTGGAAGTACCTATCTTAATATATATAAATCTCGTGTCACAATGTTTGTCCTCAATGGACTCCTAAACCACTGAACCGATTATAATAAAATTCGCACACCATGTGCAGTTCGATCCAACTTGAGAGTTAGGATAGTTTAAATCTCAAATTATAGTCGCAATTTTAATTTATTGCAAATTATTACTTTTGGGCGGTACGAAGTTCGCCGAGTCAGCTAGTATTAAACTAAATAATAAGGTATGATTAAAAATCAAAGGTACATCGAATTTATATTGCTGATTACTAGACACTTAAAGAAAGAAGGACAAAGAATTGAAGCAGCCATCTAAGGAAGTAACCTCCACGTATAGAAGACAACAGTACAAAAACATTAACTTTCGGTGGTGTTGTGTTTCAGTCGGAAGTCAGCTTCCACGGGTAGATGGTGATTGGGTCAGTTTAGGCAACGGCGCGAGTAAAATTTTTTAAGGTGGGCTATATGCAGACCCGTCTTTCCCAGTGGGCACTTTGGGCAAGTGCCCAAGGCCCCGCGATAGATAGGGGACCACCTCAGATCACAAATACATAGTCTCTAGTTCCTGTTAGATCACCAAACGGGGGTCATAGGGCCCCTATGACCCCCGGTTATCCTAATATGTCCAGTGCCTCCAATAGGTCAAGAAAGGCACTGGCCATATGCTTTTTTACCTCCCCTTTAATATTAACGAAATTAAGACCATAGCTTAAGACGACCTCAGTGGTGGAATGGTATTTACACCGGTTCTCACGATGTCGTCAGGTATGAGGTCCTTGATTCGAATCCCAGTGGCGCAAAAGTTTGCGTAATGAATAAGAGCATTTGTACATGGGTCATAAATTATAAAATACATAGGTACATTTTATTTTTCGTAACAATGGTTGTAAGATTTGCATTGCATATGCCATAGGATAATTTCATAAATCAAATTTCAATGAAACTCCTACGGATTTTGCTTAAAACGCGCCGGCGACTACATATATCAATCTTATAATAAGATAGGTATTATGCCAAAACGCGAGTCATCTCAGTAAGATTTAAGAAAAAAACAATAATAATTTAAGAATAATAACAGTAACATTGAGCAATTTCATGGTCACTGTTTAATTAGGTATTTGTTTTTTCGCAGAATCCCTAGGATTTTCGCAAATATTTGATTTATCATAAAATCATGATACACTTACAAAGTAAGCTAGGTTGATTGGTGTGATTGTAAGAAATCTTTTTTTATTTATTTGATACATTTTTGAACATACGTGTGTCAAATATAATTACTTTGCACTATTTAATTAATAAACGATACGGATATTTTTTTCCCGTTGGCAAATGGCAATGAACATTTGGACACAAACATAGCACCCAATTGACTTATTTCAACAATCTAGTGTAAACATTTTTTATCGCCTTTAACCTATCTGTATTTTAGTGTATGTACAAAATTAAACGGTGCAAGATATTTACAGGAAATACGATAAATACCCATGTTATCAATCTGAAATTAATTTTATTTGTTTCATTTATATAATTTTAAGTGCCTCAACGAAAAAATGGTTATCAAATATCTCGTGATGATTTCACGATTAAATTGCATCTAATTTGCACTTTCTGTAATATGCTAAAGTTTCATTTCACATTTTTATAACCTGATCTGTGTTTTACCAGTCTTAGACAAATATTATGATCTAAACTGATCTGCTAAACTAAGTATTACATTCCTAAATTTCAATATTTTCGAAACTATAGTTTTAGAGATTTAAAATAAAAAACCTTTTATAGCAAATTTTATCAGCTTTCTTTGAAAGTGTAGTACAAAATGAAACTCTTTTTTGAGTCGTTTTTATTTCTTAAGTAGGATATACTTTGTAACTGTTACTTAAAAAGTTATTGTAAATTTAAAAGTCTGATACTTAATTTTGCAGGCCAGTGTGTTTATTGAGTTATACTTACACTACATATTATAATTGTTTCTGAAAACTTGTCTAAGTTCATTATTATAATTACTTTCTAAACTAAAGTTGCCAGCTCTGTCTCTCAATGGTTTTAATACAACTATGCATATCACACATCACTTTAATCACGGGGTCCACTTCACTTCCCATGACTTTTTAGTTCTCATCATCAGGATCAAACCACAGTGATGTCACACTCCTGCTGCCCTGCTCACGTGCCTGCTCCTCCGTGATTATCCTCAGCACCACAACCTCCACCATGCATAGCGCGAACAGTATCAAGAATATCGCAAAGTTCGACCCTTGATGATGGAACTGGAAGGAGCTTGGCAATGGCCCCGGCGGTGGCCAAGGAGCAACACCGAACATCACTAAATTTGATATTCCAGCTAAGGACATCGCTTCCGGCTCATCACTTTTGGATCAATGTGTCTTCTGTAGATATTCTTCTGTTTTTTTCAATAAGAAACACGTGCGTACCGGTCACATGCTTTCACAACATTGGCGCCGTGAAAAAGATGTTTTTGTAATCAAGCGAGTGGCTCAATGCGGCGCGCAAACGCCAATGCGCGCGGCTGCACCGCCGCGGCCGCGGGCACCGCTGCTGTTGCAACGTATCGCTCTTATGAAATTATGAATCGCTACGGTTAGATTCTTCGCGTTGAGAAATGGTTGAATGTGAACGCAAACGTTTTGAGGTCAAGGCTGCGACGCGGGCAGTGTGCGGTGACCTTTTTGTGTGTATTTTTTGGTGGTTCTATGTTTGTTTTGGTGTGGATTCGCCGGTATCGCGTGTATCTTTATAAAATAGAGCAAGATACTATATGGGATATTTTCCTGATAGGGATCGATTTAAAATAATAAGTTGTAAGTATTGTTATTAACTGTCATGAGTTAAGTACTTAAACAAATCTTGATTTTATAGCAGAAAAATTATAAATACAAAAAACTTGTACCACACTGTACAGTTACATAACTCATTATTTTTTTAGGAAGTTTTCAATGAGTTATGAGCTTCATTAGTGGAAAACAATAATTGAATCATCTTGAACGAACCTTGAACTACCAAGAACTAAGGCCATTTCATAAACACGACAACGTCTTGTAAAAGGAAGTATTTCACAAAAAAATAAATCTTTATACCAATAACGGTACTCAATGTTTTCTATTGACGTAATATCTGTTTTTTTCCGCAGTTTTCTATAAACCCTCGCAGATCCCTATAAACATTACATTGATAGTTTGCTCCTTGACTTTCCTTAATGCTGTATTAGTTGCTTCATAGTTGCTCAGTGGACGAAAATTTAAATCGCCTAAAATAAAAATCTGAAACTTCTGATGCCGTATTTACATTTGTTCGTTAACCTGTATCCAGGTGCACAAAAGACACTACTCGAATTCGGGCACTCGAAAGAATATTTACACTAGAATACGGGCTGGAAGACGGTGTCGGGTAAACAAAAGGAAATCTGCTCGAAAACGGACGTACTCAACTCCGTTTATTTACGCTAAGGCCCGTATTATAGAAAGATTCTCAGTGATTGATCTAGTCTTGAGCATAGTTAGAAAGGGATGTCGCTATATATAGCACATAGCGATATCCCTTTCTAACTGTACTCAAGTAAAGATCAACACTTAGTTGTCATTCTGTAATAATGCGTTAGACGTTTAACCGAATTTCCTTGGCAAACGAATTCGGACGATATATTATAACGAGCAAGTGTAATCGCGCCATAAGACAAATTTATTAATAAGAGTTATTTTTTTTTTATTATGAAAATATTAAGTATTATATTCAAATTTAAAATGATATAAGATCGCAAATTTTAAGGCCTTAAATAAAGGTAAGGCCTAAACAATAATAGCATGGACGAGTGATTTCTATACCATCAGTGAAATTCTTAGTCCGTAGCTCAAACATCACCACCATAGGGCCGCATTGCTCTATGATCACCACCGTAAAGAAAGACACTTTGACAATTTGTAGATGTCAATCAATCCGAGTTATTATCGTAATTTTAAAAGGAGAAAATCGATTGTATAGAAATTCTATCACGAAATTAAACAGTATATATAAAATAATGTTTATAAATGTTCTTTACAAGGATGCACCAGAGCTGTCTCACATACGACGACTTTCATCGGAACCTGATTTGTCTCAGGAGAAAATCTTACTAGTGAACCCAAATTGTCCTGTGAGGTTAGCAAAGTAAAAATCTAGTTTTATGCACCAAACTTTTGGTTCTAATGCCTATCTAATTACTCAAACTAGAGGTGCCCTGCGGTTTCACCAGCTTTGATTCGAGGTGAAAGGTTATAGCGGGTCACCCTTAAAATAGCACATCTGCTATCGCGGTCTTTTTTAAGAATTTTTAAACGGGAATAATTCCGTCATATATCATTTTTGTGTAACTTTTTCCGTTTACGCAGCGCACGCAACGTAAGGTCACATTCTTTTTATAATAAAATCATTATCACAAATGAAATATTTTCCCCGTTTTTGCAACATTTTTAATTGATGATCCGCTTTTAGAAGTCCTAGCTTTATGTAATAGCCTTCCTCGAAATATGCATCACAAACCGAATTTTTCAAATCGGACCAGTAGTACCTGGGGTTGGCGCGTTCAAGCAAACAAACAATCTGATCAGCTTTATAGATATCCAGGTACCAAAGTATATAGAATTTTTACTCGTAATTTATTCGGTAAAAGATTAATCTTTCTAATAGGATAATGTTGGAGTACATCAGGAAGAAATGCCGCCTAGGCTCGTTTACGCAGTTCGACCTGTGCGACGAGAGTGGCGTCCTCTTGGGGCTTTTCAACCTGCCCACTTACTCTTATGCCACTGCCCAGTTTGAACATAAAAAAGCTTACTACGTTATTGTAGTGAGAACGGTTAGTTAAGCTTAAATGTACCTATACTTCATTACCTACAATCTCGTTGGATGGTTGCTGCGAGACTTAGATCAAGAGCAACAATTTAGTGGGTCCTTTCAACCTGCCCACCTACACCTGCTTACGCCACTCCTCAGTTTGAGCAGAAAAGGAATTCTGCATAACTGTAGTGAGAAGGGTTAGTTTAGTTTAGTTCCAACATGCCTTTTTCTGTTTCTTCGGTTTCTGCCGCCTGGCCGCCTTCGCACTTTGCCGCTGTAAATACGCCCCTGGTAGTGAGGACAACAAGTTTAGCGGCAATATACCTTTATTAAATTTCTGAAAAGGTCTGACCTCCATCTTGCCACCGGGGGCAATATACGTGTAACGAGGATTAAGAGACTCCTCCTCACTTATAAAAACACGGGCAATATTTCGCCACCGGTTATAAACCACTACAAACGCTGCAAAATTGTGTGTTGCGCGGTGCCACGGGTTGCCCATGGTACGTGCGCAACATCGATTTGCATCGCATTCTCAAATTAGACTCCATCGCGAAGCACATGAAGGACGCCTCGAGGCGTTACTTCGATAAAGCCGCGCATCATCCGAACCCCTCAGTTATTAAGGAGATCAGTTATCATACGTCCGCCCTCCCGTCCTCCAATCGTAGGTCCCTCCGATTCCGTCGGCCTAGGCACGTTTTAGAGTACCCAGACGACGAAATCACCCGCGCCAACGCGCCTCCGATTCCTCCCACACAGGCCATAAACACCAGTTAGCAAACTTGCAAACTTAGCTTAGCCTTAGGCAGACACCGCACCCGTAGGATAAGAGTGCGAAGAACCGGTCTACACACGATACGCTATACCAGGTACAGGTTTTTCCCCGACCCCACGACAACGGCTGACTAGAGCCAAGGTTCGAGTCTCAGAGATGCCCTCTAGTTGAGCCGACCCCGTCTGGTTCGAGTGGTCTAGAGGCTCCAGCCAGAGAGGAGACTCCCCCCGTGGGGAGATGCCATCCGCCTGGAACACCTCTAGAGGCACTCGCCAATTCTCGGCTTGAGGTCCCCTTAGGATCTCGCCGTCTCCAAACCCGGTGACGCTTTAAAGGTCATCTGCGACCAACAGCATACACACTCAAAAAAAAAAAGAAAAAAAAGCCACCGGTTATCGCTACGCTTATGTCGCTGCCCAATTTTTCTTTTTTTTTATAACCAGGTTAACAAATGACTATAATGATACAGTCCAAACGCGAAAATAGCTATTTTTCGCGTTTGTACAGGTACAGCAGTTATAAACTGCCACACCAACCGTCGTCAACTTATCGGCGTGCAAAAATGCTTCTTCACGCCTTTCTTAAAGGACCCTAGATTGTAGGAAGGAAAAATGAACGAAGATTGTAAGAAGGGCAAAGAACTTCACTTGCGAATAGTATGACAAAGAAATGAGTCACTAAATTCCTTTGTTCATGTAGCAATAGTGGCCACAGTAAGTCGGTAACAATTTAGGCCAGCGCACATGCGTGGTCCTTTAGAAAAGGTGATGGAGGGATAAGGGAGAATAGCTCTTCAGAACACTCGCGTGTTATAGTCGGTAGAATGCTCTTAATGATGAGAAATCGCGGTTTAATTGTCGAGTTTTTTAGTTACCTCTCCATCGCCAATGATGCGGGTAGCGGCGTAAGATCCGCCAAGTAAGTACTTTACTCAAAGTACAAAAAAGAATTTTAAATAAAATATTAACTAAATTAAGTAATAAATTCATACATAGACAATAAAACTTTAAAAATCGAACAATGAAATAACCGAACGCTCAATAAAAGTCTTTCGAATGTAGCTCGACAAAATTAAACAAAAATTTGATTTCGACGACGTTGCCTGTAAAGGCTACGAAACGTCAATAAATAAAGAAAGTTTCGTGCATTAACCCGTAAAAAACTAGATTTATTTAATGAGTGATGTGCGTGAAAACCTAAGAAACAAATAAGTAAGTACTTACTTAAATAGCCATCCTAGAGATGCGAGCAATATTCCACGCCGAACCGCACTTGTGTTTTGTACAACAAATACAGTTGATCAGGCATGAAAAAACGCCGCACCTTGTTCAGGACTCCGAGTTTGCATGAAGTTATTTTGATCACGGTTTCGATATTTTGGATTCAGGTCTGAGCGAAGTTCCATACCGATGCAGCATCATCTGCTGCCCGGCTAAGATGGTCATAGAGTCGTGTTGTCTCAGCGTCGCTGGTGTGAGATCTGTAGAGGCACACGTAGACTCAAGGACAAGGACCAGACTATCATGGAGAAGTAGGGGTTTTCCAGACAGCTCAATCGGCGGCAACAAACATCAAAGGATTCTTCAAGCACGTAGCCGGGATAGATAAGGTAGCCTGTGTCAGCGGCCGGAAGTATTTGTGTCTCCATTAGAAAGTGAGGCCGTGCTGCTCGAGATGGTGGTGGACAGCATTGAGGTTAGAGTGGAGTCCGCGTATATTGAAGAACTCGACCTTAAATAGCGCGAAAGCGTGAGGGTGTGCACCGCTGTACAACCAAACTTTGTTTTATTGTGTCCGCCATCATGGGAAAAATTAAGAGACGTGAATCGAGTGGAGTTAGTCGCGATGGCTAATCACTCACGTCAAAATCAAGCATAATCAGGCAAAAGTAATATGTGGAGGCACATTTTCCCGAGTAACTGCCTAAGAAAGGGATACGCCGACCCACCGGACGGAAGGGCGGACTTATTTCGTTTTTCCATTTTCCAATCGGTAAACACCTACTATATCTGCTTACTACTGTCTGGAGAAATAACCTCTACTTTACAGAATACCACAATAAAATAACAGTACCTATCGTTTGGTGGTGTTGTGTTTCTGTCAGTGAGGTGTGTGGTCTGTGGTAAGGTTACAGGCCTCAAAGGGGGAATCTTGAAAAAATCCCTTGACTTAGGGTAGGCAACGGCACGAGAGATATTTTTTGTATCGCAAGCGTCTGTGGGCTATGGTGGCCACTTACCAACAAACGGTTTATGTATGTATGTATGTATGTAATATATTTATTCATAAAAAGTTACACTTTCATTTAAATCATGCCCCGCAAAACTGCTTACGCAGTTTGACTGCAGGTAACTCGCTTTATATAAACATAGCTTATAATTTATTAAATTAGGTGATATTAATACAATTAATTTACGTAATAAGTTACAACGTATTTAACAAGTGTTTTTTTAATAAACTTTTAAATTTAGTAAGTTTAGGCTCACGTCTTATGTCCTCGGGTAAACTATTGAGTAAGTATGGAACTCGTTTTTTTAACGTTCTATCTCCATAGTAATTTTGTACCATAGGTATTTCAAATTTACCTTTGGACATTGACCTTGTGCCAGTTTTATGTTGCACCAAATTAGTGAAACGATCCTGTTTACTATGATTGTTTACAAGTAGAAGGTATTTATGTTTCAGGCTAGCCGGTAAAATTTTACATATTTTATATAGTTTAGAGTAATCTCCTTTACATTGATTCTTTGTCTTTTTATTTACGAGTAATTTTAAAAATCTTGTTTGCAATGATTCTATTTTATTTATGTATGTTTTAAATGTTAATCCATAGCAATCAAGAGCGTAACCAATTATGGAATCCACTAGTGCAAAATATAAACTTTTTAGTATTGGCAATGGAACTTTAAAACTTAAATGATAAAACTTTTCCAGTAATACTCTTAATTTTTTACATACGTATTCTATGTGAGAATCCCAGGAAAAGGAGGTATCTATTTTTACTCCTAGGTAATTTACATAATTAACTTTTTCGATAGGATTACACTTGCAGTTAATTTTATTATTATGGAAGCAATCAAAGTCGTGTGCAATCAGAGGAGGCGGATTATCAATAGAACGTAAATACGGGGAGTGAATAATTAGCATTTTTGTTTTGTCTGCGTTTAATATGATGCCGTTATCATGTGACCATTTAACTACCGCATCCACATCCTCTTGCACCCGGCGACACATTTCCGCGAGGTCTGTACCAGCGCTCAGAGTACAAAGGTCATCGGCAAACATGTGGGCGGAGCAGTGACGTAATACTCCACAGAGGCTATTTACGTGCATCAGGTAGCACACAGGCCCACACCCGGAACCCTGGGGGACGCCGCAGTTTACTTGTTTCTCCTCGCTGAACGTGTCGCCGACTTTCACACGGTAAGATATACAATGGCCCATTGGTGCCATGCTTTGGAATATCCGAATCACCCGCATGTATGTTTTGTAATTTAGGAGCTAGATTTTTTTCCCGTAGTTTTCACCAGACTATGTATTTCCCACGTGTCCTAGGTTTCTATGAGTAGTTTATTTAATCCTTGTTACATAAGGAAACAGACAAGCGGCTGTCGGTGCTGCCACAACTCAATCACGAGAACAGATTGTATGAAGACCTTAAGAATCGGGTGAAAAGATTCCTTGCCACTGGAGAAGTGAGTCCTCAATCTACCCCGCCTACAGCGCCGACTGCAAAAGTTGGGCCAACTGCAAAATCTGCGTCGGCTGGAAAAGCTGTGCCAAATGCCAAAATGGTGCCCTCTGCTGGCAAGAAAAAATAGAAAAGTAGACAACGGAATAGAGTATGTACGTTAGTGCTAAATTAAAAAAACAATAATTTCCTATAGGTGTCGTTTGTATTAAAATCTTGTAATTTCAAGTAACAATATTTAGATAGATGCAAACGTCTAAATAATCTGGACGCGTGAAGTTCTAGTACCGCTTTCCTTTTTCTTGCGTTACAGCAAGATCTGGAACGAACTTCCCTCTGCGGTTCTTTCTTCCAGCTTTGATGTGGAGGTCTTTCAAAGGTAGGTTAATATTTTCCCTAAGAGCCGGCAATGCATTATTGGTACCCTAGGTGCTACCATTACTGGTATTTGCACCGATATAAATACTGATTCTTTAGGAAATACTACTAGTGAACACTATACCCTCACTTTCATCGCGCAGTTGGGTAAAAACGTAAGTTAACGTAAAGTGTTATAGCAATGAAGAAGGTAGTGATTTAAGCTCCTGCGACAAAACAAATAGCGAATAAAATATATTTGCTAATGAAAATGCTAAGGCGTTGCAATCTTTTAGAAGACTAGCGGCCGCCCGCGACTTCGTCCGTGTTAACTTTAGTTTTTATAGGCACCTAAAAAACCGAAATTAAATGAATCCTTTGTCTCAATCCAGGACATAAACTGTATGCGTACCCAATTTCATACAAACACACAAACTACAATCTTACAGATTTAAAATATTAGTAGGATACTTAAAATCCCCATAGGCTATAGAGTGGTCCAATGCAAAAATAACTTGAACAGAATTTACTTACAGAATTAACTCGCTCAGATTAGTCCAGGCAACGAAAAGGTATAGAGGGAAATGCTTAGAACACAATTTTTGCCTTTGTGACTTTGTTAGGACTAGTTAGGAGGTAAACATATCAAAAGTCCCCGCCCGTAGCCCTTAAGCCGGGGGGAGGGGGGGGCTTGAAGGTCCCATTTTTAGGTTTTTCGCATATATCTCGAAAACTATGCATCCTAGCGACATGAGACTTTCACAAAAGTGAAAGCTGATTAAATTTGCTACAAGTCTTATTCAGTCAAATTTTTTGATATCTTGTATAGTTTTCGAGATAACCGCTTTTGAAAGTCTGTAATTATGGAAAAAATTTTTGTTCCCATTTTTGCTCTATTTGACCGGATAACTCTTCAACAATGCACCCAAAAAATAAATGCCGACCGTAGGGTGGTAGAGCATTAAATTATCTTCAATAATAGAGAAACAATTGCCCTTTTTTTTATTTAAGGACAAAATTGTTAGGGTTGTAGACGTATGGGGGCGGTACGGTGGGCACTAGGCCGCGTACTCAGCCCCCACGCGCGGGCCGTCCTGCGCACGTCTGTGGGGTCCTCGCGATACCCGGGAGACCCCTGCCGCGGAACCTCGGCAAGGCCGGGAGGATGCTAGGTGCGGAGACGCGGAAGAATCCCTAAACGGGGATTCTGCGGCTTCGCACTAAGCAGCTTAGAGGGTGTTCGCAGGGTTTTTTAGCGGATATTATGCCGTAAAGCGGCCGTAAGGGTTACGGGGTCCTCAGTGGGCAGCCACTGCTAAGGCTCGTAAGGCTTGCGGGAGCCAGGTGTGAGGTCCATAAGTAAAAAAGAAAGTAAATTAGTGTCATTGAGAAACTGTAATTATCTAATAATAATATCTGTAATAATGATATCCGCTCTTGAAAATCTGTAATTATAGAAAAAAAATTGCTTTACATTTATGCTCTATTTGACCGGATAACTCTCGAACTCTTCAACGATGCACCGATGTCTAAATAGCACACATGCTCATTTTAGAATATGTACTTGTTGGCCCACTGACCAGGTTTTTCACACTTAATCCAGAAAATAAGTTTAAAAAAACTGTAAGAGTTAACTACTTTATGCAAAAAAGGTTATTATAAATTAGATGATTATTTAAATGATAAGATTGTCTGGTGTTGTATTGGTCCAGCTCAACACAAAAAGTAGTATTAAGAATAATTAAAATTATAAAACAGGACATTAAAAAAATTGAGACGGTAGGGCCCTGTGCCTCTGGTTTTTTTCCGGTTCTCATTGGCTATACAGGTACGAATACGGCAGCAGTTTTAGATACAATTCACTATGACGTGCAAAAAGAGGTTTGTAAAAAAATTCAATATAGTCAATTTCTTGCTCTTTTGGGGTGGGAAGGACCTTGATCCTCGTCTTCGTTTACATTTTCTTTTTCTGTGTCATCTTCTCCATCGGAACCCTGTAGGGAAACGGTCACAGGATCCTCCAGTTCTTCTTCACCTTCGGAGTCAACTTAAGCGACCCCATTCAAGCAGTTCCCCTGGCAATTTTGGCACGCTGGGGAACATTTGAGACTTGCTTTTATGCAGCCTCACTTCGCGCTTTCACAGTCTTTCGTGCATCGACAGAAAATCGAAAAATTATATAATAGGTAGTGTTGGTCGTGAACATCGCCCCCGGCGGTGTAGACACCTACTTATTTAGGTAACGGCCAACACTGCCAGTTTTCTTACCGGGCGACGCAGGCACCCCCTTTAGTCAATACGTCTACTACCCCCTTTTTTTATACGCAGGCAAAAAATACTATTTACAGACGACGGCGCCTTTAAGAGGCACACCGCCGAACGGACCTCACACCTGGCTCCCGCAAGCCTTACGAGCCCCAGCAGTGGCTGCCCACTGAGGACCCCGTAACCCTTACGGGCGCTTTACGGCATAATATCCGCTAAAAAACCCTGCGAACACCCTCTAAGCTGCTTAGTGCGAAGCCGCAGAATCCCCGTTTAGGGATTCTTCCGCGTCTCCGCACTTAGCATTCTCCCGGCCTTGCCGAGGTTCCGCGGCAGGGGTCTCCCGGGGTATCGCGAGGACCCCACAGACGTGCGCAGGACGGCCCGCGCGTGGGGGCTGAGTACGCGGCCTAGTGCCCACCGTACCGCCCCCATACGTCTACTACCCTAACAATTTTGTCCTTAAATAAAAAAAAGGGCAATTGTTTCTCTATTATTAAAGATAATTTAATGCTCTACAACCCTACGGCCGGCATTTATTTTTTGGGTGCATTGTTGAAGAGTTATCCGGTCAAATAGAGCAAAAATGGGAACAAATTTTTTTTCCATAATTACAGACTTTCAAGAGCGGTTATCTCGAAAACTATACAAGATATCAAAAAATTTGACTGAATAAGACTTGTAGCAAATTTAATCAGCTTTCACTTTTGTGAAAGTCTCATGTCGCTAGGATGCATAGTTTTCGAGATATATGCGAAAAACCTAAAAATGGGACCTTCAAGCCCCCCCCCCCCCCCTCCCCCCGGCTTAAGGGCTACGGGCGGGGACTTTTGATATGTTTACCTCCTAACTAGTCCTAACAAAGTTACGAAGTCAAAAATTGTGTTCCAAGCATTTCGCATCGCCGAAGAGATTTATTTTTCTTTACCATGTAGTACCTTCAGTACCACCAGACAGTCCGCACGCAGTATAGTGCGTATTAAAAAAAGCGGGAGGTATTCCCTCTTCATCACGCCGCCGCTGCTCGTCAGTTCGCGGCTCATGTGTTTTACAGAATAAGAGACAACATTGACGATGTTATCCTAGATAACAAGGGGGTAAAAATTATTAGCGTCGCTGAGCGGGATCCTGGATCTCTTCGGCGATAACAGGACAATTCAGCTTGAACTTCACTTAGGTAAGTTCGTTTGATCATTCAAATTGTCCTGTTATCGCATCCGAGAATTATTTTTCTTTACTATGTAAATAGATGTTAAGAGAGAAAAAGTCAGTGTTGTTAAGAAATTAATAGGATATTTTCCCATATAAATTATAATTATTGATGTTCATACTTGTTTTTAGATATTTAGTACCAACATGAGCTAAGCTTTGCTAATTATATTATCAACCAGGTTGCTAGGTAGATTTGAACTTTTATTAGCACTACTCTTCTACCAACGTGGCTAGGTGAAGCCCTAGACGACACTCTGGGTTAGGTGCGATATAATCGAAGATATTCCCGCTGTATAGAAAAGAAAATAGGGACAATCGGAGGTGACAACAACTGGCTTAAGGTACTTTAGAATTTATCCCAGTAATTCTGTTAGTACGCTTTTGTTGAGGCACGAGGTACATTTTGAGGTCGGTGGCGTATACTACAGCAGGTGAGGTGGCAAATCACTGCTTTGCAGGCAGTCTTTTTTCGTGGTAAACTATCAAGTGTTCACTCCACTCGCAAACAAAGTACTCGTGTATATACGAGTATGAGTCGATTAATAATGTATTAGACTAATATATCGAAACTTTCGCCTGCTCTTCTGCAAAGTCTGCTTTATCTATCGACCAATGGTGTTCGATAAAGCAGCTTTGTGAGTTTTTTTTATACATATGTTAGTTACGCCCTCTGACAAGATGGGATGATGATACCTATTCGTAGGCTGGCTGGAGTGGGCTGGATGAGAGTAGCACAAATTCGGGAGCAGTGGCGTGCATTAGGGGAGACCTATGAAGCAGTGCAGATCCAGCAGTGGACGAACATGGGTTGATGATGACATGTTAGTAGGGTTTTTATAGGTAATCTCGTCTCTGACTTCGGTATGATAGCGGTAGTTGTACAAACACCCAGAGTAACGGAAGAGCAAATTCTCGGATTACTTTAAAATAAGAATAGGCCCAGCATTGTTAGACAATGCTGGCATGTCCTAAATAAAATTAAAAAATCAATTTGATGTATAATAGTCCTTATTTTTGTTGTAAAAATAATTATTTTATCCTTGTGTGAAGAAAACTAGGAAATTCTAGTTAAAAAAACAAGAATATTTGCATACTTATTAAGGGTATTATAAATTTGAGATTAAAATAAAACGATCGACGGGTGATCTTCTAGCGTACTTGACTCATATCTGGGGTGAGGCTATTGACAAGCGTGGCGAGTCGTTGGCTATCAGCCTTGACGTAGCAGTTCGCGGTTCATGTCTGTGAATGCCGGTGTTCCTAAGGCTCCGTCCTTCCCCCACTCTCTTTCTGCTG